CAGGTTGTTCGTCTGGTCGGATTCTCGAGGAGAGGCATTCGTGAAGCTGAAGCAGGCGGTAGCTGGTGCATCGTTGCTCCACAAGCCAGTTCCAGGAGCGCCGGTCATCATCGAAACAGATGCCTCGGAGGTTGGCATCGGCGCGGTGTTGAAGCAGGTGCAAGAGGGAAGAGAAGTCCCGTTAGAGTTCGCGTCTAAGAAGTTCACCGACGCGGAGAGAAAGTGGGATACGAGAGAGAGAGCTCTTCGCCGTCAAGTGGGCTGTAGAGAAGTGGTACGACTACGTAGCGCTCCATCATTTCACCGTACGCACAGATCACGCCAACCTACGCTACCTTGTGGGAGTAGACAAAGGGAAGGTGTTCCGCTGGGCGCTGGCGCTCAGCAGGTTCAACTTCACCTTGGAGTTCCTGCCGGGAGAGAAGAATAACATGGCGGACTGGTTGTCGCGGTACGCAGCGGAAGATAAAGAGTGCGACGCAGAGATCGAGGCAATGGCTTTGGGCGGTAGAGTGATAGGCCACGTGGGCCGACTGCTGGGGAGGCATCAAGTGTCGGAAGGGGACTTTATGAGAGAGTACCGGCAGCTGGAGCCGCAAGGAGTGCCTGGAGTGAAGAAGGATGGCAAGTGGTGGCGTCAGGCCATGACTGGCAAGGTGTACGTCTCGGAGCGACTGAGAGCGAAAGTGGTACTGAACTTCCACTATGGCACCAGTGGGCACGCGGGAGTACTCAAGACGCGGAAGAGAGTAGCCAGCATGTTCTACTGGCGGGACTTGCAGAGGACGTTGCGAAAGTGGTAAGAGAGTGCCTGATATGTGCCCGGACTCGAACGAGAGCCCTGACTCGAACGAGAGCTCGGCTGACGCACAACGTGCCGAAGGGGAGTCTGGAGAATCCGAGCGCGATGGACACAGTAAGCTTGGATTACGTAGTACCCATGCAGCTAGATGGTCAGAGTTGGTGGCTCCTAGTTGTAATGGACCACGCGACGCGGTACATGGGAGCGTGGATAACGAGCACGGTCACAGCTGCGCAGACGGCTCACATCTTCTTGCGGGGCTGGGTGACACCGTTCGGTATTCTGCGAGTGGTCTTAACGGACAACGGCACGAGCTTCAGGGGGCGTTCCATGAGATGGTGGCTAGCGCGTTGGGCTTCGTCCATCTGACGACGGCAACGTATAGGCCACAAGGGAACGGCATCAACGAAGCCTCCCACAAGGCGCTCAGAAGCGGGTTAAAGCACTCTGGCAAGAAGGACACCGCGACCTGGGTAGGATGGTGGCGGCGGTCTGTCGCACGCACAATACGACACCGCACTACGAGGCCTTATTCGGAAGACCACCGTACTTCGCGCGGTTGCAAGAGATAACCGGCACAGTAACAGAGGGCAGAGGAAGCGGAGCCTGGCCGCACAGGTGCAAAAGCCCATGCTCGCAGATAGGCCGCTCGAAGAGTCGGGCGCGGATGACCTACGGGTAGGAGAAACAGTAGTAGTCTCGATGGAGCCAGGGTCACAGGCAGACGCCAGGGGAGGACCGAAGACACCAGCATGGGGCGCACACCGCGTGGTCGCTACGAATGAGGATAACAGAGTTGAGGAAAACGCAGGTACTGGCAGAAAGATGCGACGTGCCGGGGTGGACGGTCACGGCTCACAAAGACCAAGTGAGGAGGTTCAAGCTGAGCACGGATCCACTACTGCGGTGGGCAACCCAAGAGTACGTCTCAGGGCAGCGCGAGCTGGAGGAGCAGGCCGAGAACAGGCGGGAGACGAACGACGTTGGCATGAAGACAGAAGCCAACTGGGATGAGTTCTTCAGACCAAAACGAAACGGAGCTAAAGGAGGGGGACCTGGTCAAGGCGCCTGAGGAACTCGTCATGTTCTCAGTCGAGGAAGGCTGTCGCAGCCATGCACCTCATTTGTCGTGTGCACGTTTTGTCTACGGACTTTTGGGTAAATGGGGGACGCAAAACAACAGTAAACCATGGCCGAGTCTACCACCCACAGCGGCCTGAGTTCAGCCACGGAGGACCTGCGCGGTTCAGCTTGTACGACGCACACAGAACTTGGGACGACTTGGGACGCACACAGAACGTTAACAGCTTGTTATGAGTTCGCCTTGTCACGTCCCG